CAGGAAAGCGTATTTGTATCGATTAACTTCAGTAATCCGTCTTGTTTTTATTTACAGTAGGATAGTTATTGAATTACTGTATCTCCAATAATTTAACTCAACTTGTTACATGATTTTCATTCAAATTGTAATCAAATTCAAAACTTAATTATACAGCATTTACAATAATCGTATAGACAGTGCTACATATTATCACATGTAGTTATACAGTTCTAGCAACATTATTTTTTATTATTGTGTTTTTTGTTAAAAATAATGTTATATTAAGTTGTCAACTATGTTCGTGCAGAAGAGTTTATTTAAAAACAACCTTGTTAATAAATAATCTGAAAATATAGTTTTTAGCATTTTCATTGTCTTGCGTTACTCCAATGGACAGACACCTACCTAAAAGGACTGGTAGCTTATGAGTTTTATGCTTTAGCTCACAAGGTATAAGTGGTCGAGTGATTCCGAGAACACCACTGGAAAGAGCATAAAATTGTACGGATACATGGTTTCATTGAATTCTTGCTACACAATTAGTGTTCGCAGACAATATTCTTCTTTTCCTTAATAAAACACAATTTGACTTGATTAATTCCGGGAGAATTCCTTAAGGAAATTGTATTAAATAGATTTTAGAGAAAATTACAGTTTATTTACGCGAAAATTTATACTTTTTACTAGACTTCAAAGTAAGACCAATTTTTGAAACCCGGCCCAAACCCTTAGTTTTCTTTAAATGGGAAGCCCGACCCGACTCGGGCTCTATACGGGAATCACTTGGGAGTCCGAAAAAACCCTTAAAATATAAACCTATATCAAATTGCGGTATCACATTCATTGAACTTGTATTCTTTTAACATTAAACCTACAGATATAAATGTATAATGCTTTAAGGTTTACAAAAATCATAATTGGAACTTATATAAATAAATTATCGACATTTTGGGGGTCGTATTAAGAGGAAATATAAATACTGTGAGAAAAATATAATGGTTTTCTAAAGGTTTGGACTTTTTAAGGGTTTCGATTTCTACAACGGGAAACCCTTTCCCGACACTGCCCTTAATATTCAAACCCGTCCCTTCCGAAACCATTAAGGGTCGGGTCGGACAAGGGTTCCCAACTTTCTATTCTAATGCATATATACATAATATTTAATATATAATAATAACCATGCAGTAGTATGCATCCATACTCACATCAAAAATACTACTTTAT